ATATATATAATTCTCTTTATATATATATATATATATATATATATATATATATATATATATATAAATAATATAATATATATATATATAAATAATATAATATATATATAAATATATAATTATTATTATATATATTATATTATTATATATTATTATATATATAATATTATAATAATATTATATATTATTATTATATATTATTATATATATATAAATATATATTATATATATATTTATATTTATATATTTATATATATATATATATATATATATATTATATTATATTATATTATATATATTATATATATTATAAATGTATAAATATACATTTTCTGTTCGGCCGTGTCAGTTTACGTTGAACCAGGTTCCGTTTACATGAACGCTCTCTGTGCCCGAGTACCCACGACACACGTTTTTTAGAGCCGAACGCGAGCGCGGGCCCGACCAAGAGCTCGCCATTCGTTCGATCGATCGATCGATCGATCGATCGCCCCGTTAACCGCCCGATCGTTTATCTTGTTAGCCCTCGTCTGTTAGAGGTCAGTGTTGCACGATCGTCTAGAAACGCGGAGCGACGAATGCCGCGTATAGAGGCTAGACAGTTTCTCTTTTTTATTGTGTGTGCGTGCGTGCGTGCGTGTCTGTGGTGTCTTCGTGCTGCATCGTGGGTTGTCCCCTTTTAATCCGCACTTCCGGTCGAGTCCCGCGATTCGGAAAATCGACTCGAACGAAGCAACGAACGGCTCCACGTGATAACGGAGACAAAGTGACCGCGGTCGATCGAGATCGCGATTAACCCTTTCGGTACGAGCGCGTTGTCCGCCGTGACACTCCCACTGGACGGGGTGCCGCGCCGAAAATACGCGCATAACGCAGGGTCACAGTCCACTTTCGTACGAAGATTTTCTTAAGCGTTAAGTAATGACTGTGCTTAATCCGTTTCTAAATCTTTCTTTAAATGTTTTCTGTAAACATTCTGTAAAGGGCCTACAGAAATGGCTTACATGGGTGCCAGATGTATTCGCCACGCGTCCATATTGGTCATCAGATGGGTGCCGGATATATCCGGCGCTCGGTCACACAGGTGACCAGACGGATGCCGGATATATCCGGCGCTCGTACCGAAAGGGTTAACGAGGAGGAATCGTCTTCCCCGATGCCGCCGACAAGCTCTTGGTCGGTCCCGCCCTTGGTCCCGTAGAGTCCAGGCAATGTCGCATGGATCGGAAAGCATAGCCGCGTCGATAGCGATCGTCGTTAACACCGCGTAGAGGAGGATATGATGGATGAAGACGCGAAGCGCTTTTATAGAACAGACGATATAAAAGAGTCCATACGTCTGACTTAGCTCGATCCTTGCGAAGAAGCTCGCGGGACTTGGTGTGTATACGACTTTGCCGTCCGTATGTTTTTGTTTTCTGCCCGGCTCTGGAAAGTTTTCTGTGTTGTTAGGAGACAGTTTCCCCATTAAAACATAGCCCGCTTCGTGTCGAAGACCGGGGCCTCGGGGCCGGATCCGAGGACCGCCGCCAAGGCGACCGTGTCTCCGTTCTTGGCCGATCGCCTGTCCTTCGCGGAACGCGCATGCATCGCGAACTGGCGCCCACGGATCGATAGCCAAAACTGATCATCGGCGAGTCGAGCTCGTCGCGAAGGAGTTCTGCGTATGATAGAGGGTCGTGCATGTAATCTGTTCGCGGGTTGCAGCCGCGGCGGAGACCGGCGCTTCCGCGTCGGCGGCAGGACGCGCGGCGATGATCAAGAACGGAGAGTCCTTGGCGGCCGAATCCGACGATGAAAAGCGAGAAGATAAGGAACGGGATGCATATATAATATCGGGAATGAGAAATGCGCGGGAGGGGACGAAGGGAGAACGCGAGGGGGGCCGGCCGAAGCGGCGGTGTTCGACACGACGCGACGCCCTGTGGCTGCTCTACAGACGAGAAAGTTGGTTGGACTGATATCGTAGGTCTGCTTGTGAGTGTTAGGTGTATATATTAAAACCCTATTTGCCCGAAATATCTTTTTGGCGATGTGCCCGTGTTTTTTTCAGTGTGTGCTCCCTGTTTTCTGTTCGAACCGCCGCGCGCCAATCTCTCCCGACTTTCTCCCCCCCACCTGGAACACGTTTCTCGGCTCGAACGGTGCTTGCTGCTCCATGTTGTTCATTAGCCTGCCTGGTTTTTCCGTTCAACGACACACACGACTCGGCGATTGTTTCGTTATGTTCCCTGTTTGCGCCGCCCCCCTACAACCTTAGCCCTTTTAGCCTCTCTGTTCTTTGTTTCTCAGCCATCCCGTTTTTCTGTTGCGTTTGTCTGATCTTCGCGAGTTCGGCGAGGAACTACGATGCATAGACGCAGACACGCGTCGCCGTCGGCTTAGATGTTTCTCCTGATAGATCGTAGAAGAGCGTTCCGACGATCCGCTCGTTTGGTAACGTGGTTGCTCCTTCGCCTGTGGTTCTTTCTGCTCGTTTGGAATGCTGTAGCGCGGCCGAGCGCCGCTGGCCGATCTAGCGCGCACGCGTCCAGGACACCGAGGGACCAATTTCTCGAGGCCGGGCGCGATCGATCGTGAGATCGATCGCGAGATCGAGGAGCTTCCGAGCGGAACGCCGCCCTCTCGGTTCCCCGCGACTCGGAGAGCCGTTTCTCCGACGCCCGAGACCCACGCCGAAATGGATCTTAGGCCGCGATTGGTCGCAGCTGTCGCGGCCGAGCGACGAATCTTGGCCCCGATAGACACGCCCCCGCGCACCGTGAACTCGCGCGAGCCGATTTTCGATCGCGAGACACGCCCCGCACCACGTTCGGGGCGTCCGCCGAGTTGCCGATCGCGAGCGTCACGGTTCAACCGCTCGAAGGTCGCGGGCAAAGGGTCGCGAAGAGCCTGCGATCTCGCGGAGAGACACGTTTCGCACCCCGCCAGGACCTCTCTCTCTGCGTAATTAGCCGGCGGGGATGCGGGCCAGCGACGACACCTTCGACTCGATCTTTATCCCACGGGTGACCCTTTCGTTTTTGGTCGTTCTCTCTGTGCACGAACGATACCGGGCCCCGCGCGAACCTTCGACTCGAGTTCGGCGCAAGAGAGACGCGTCATTAACGCGCGTCCGCGCGTTAATTTCGCTGCGATCCGCAACCGATTTCTCCCCGCCCGATACGATAGAGAACGTTGTCGGTGAACGCTGACGGCGACGACCGACACACGAGCTTTTTAACACGTTTTTCTTACAGTTTCGAACCCTGACCGTTCATAACGAACACAACACAGGTCGACGAAAAGAGAGGAGAACCCGACGCCGAAAATAAAGTCCGTCGTCGTCGATCGTGTAAGCGCATTCGGTTCGCCGTTCTCGTCGAAAGTTCCTATAGCGTCGACGCGGCCGGCCGGCTTTGTGGAAAACAGAGAAGCTACGTGCGCAAGCTACGTTTCACGCCGGTCACAGAGATAGTCGGTGTATCAAAGTTCCAACGAAAAACGGCCGACTCTCCCACGATGTTTCCGTCTACTCGGCGGCCAGGCTACCGAGCAGAAATCGCGTGTGCGCGACGGGACACGAGGAGAGAGGATAATAGACGAAACTTTCCGTGCGAAAGAGCGCTCCGATCCAAGAGGCGGAGTCGTCCCGACGAGTCCCGTACGACGATGCTTCTCGTCGTGTCCCCGGTTCTCATCCTCCATTCCGAGCTTTCGTTTCTTTCCAAGCTACGACGAACCTTCCGGACACTTTTAAATCCCCGCCGGAAGTTCTCGCCGAGTCAACGCTTGTGCTCGAACAGCCGATCGGAGGCCGTGGGCATCGATCGCGGCGCGGTCGAGCAAAAGATCGGTGAAAAGGCTAGCGAGTGAAAACTTGTACTCTCTCTTTCTCTCTCTTTCTCTCTGTCTATCTGTCTATCTGTCTATCTGCCTACTTTTCTGTCTATTTATCTGTCTACGAATCTCTATCTTTCTTCTTCTTTTTCTCTTTCTTTCTCTCTCTCTCTCTCTCTCTCTCTCTCTCTCTCTCTCTCTCTCTCTCTATTTCTTTCTCTCTCTCTCTCTCTCTCTATCTCTCTCTATTTCTTTCTCTCTATCTCTCTCTCTCTATTTCTTTCTCTCTCTCTCTCTGCCTTTCTCTCTCTCTCTCTCTGCCTTTCTCTCTCTCTCTCTCTCTCTCTCTCTCTATCTCTCTCTATTTCTTTCTCTCTCTCTCTCTCTCTCTATCTCTCTCTATTTCTTTCTCTCTATCTCTCTCTCTCTATTTCTTTCTCTCTCTCTCTCTGCCTTTCTCTCTCTCTCTCTCTGCCTTTCTCTCTCTCTCTCTCTCTCTCTCTCTCTCGATTGTTCATCGGAGCTGATTGACCCGCTGAATCGATCTCTCGAGCCTTTATACGAGCTTGACAAGAGACTGCGGCTTCACGCTTGGCGCGACTGCTGCAACGAAAAGCTTGACCTAAACGAATGGCTTCTTGATTTCTTACTTCTTAACTCACGAACCATCAACTGTTCTTCTTATATATATTATATATTATAAATATATATATACAATATTCGTTCTATTGATTACATTATTGTTATGGTTATATCCTTATGCGCTGTTCTACTACGGTGAATTTTGTGCAACAATCTGTTCTACGCCCACACACCAATTACGCCAGCCCATTGTCATCGCGTCTACCACGCGGGGAAAAAGAAACTGCATCGGCGAATACGATGATGACGTACACGTTAATCTCTCTCTCTCTCTCTCTCTCTCTCTGTCTCTATACGTACATATATATCTACGTAACACATGTATACCAAGTATACATGAACGAGACCACGAACGATCTGAACGAACACGAAGCACCACGTGTCCCCCCACAAAACGGATTTCTTTTATGATTTTCATTTCACGTTCTTTTGTCTTCTCTGTTTTGTTTTTGCTTCTTCGTTACCGTTCAACTCTCTTTTAACGTTTACGTGTCCGCGCCACGTAAGAGAGCCATCGTCCACGCAGAGAAGAAGAGACGAACATCCCCGCTGCTCGATCCCGCGATCGATCTGTCGGGATCGATCTCCGTTCAGGGGACGGAGAAGCATGCGGGCAACGAACGAACGACGAGCCGAGCGTGACCCGGAGGGGGAGAAGCCGAGAAAAAAGTCGAGACAAATGGAAACCGAGGGAAACGGAAAAAAGAAAGGAGAACGGACGAGGTCGCAGTTGAAAAGCGAACACGGCCGGGATCCGTTTAGATCCTCCGTGCTTTTTTTTTAGGGAGGAAACACGGGAGAGAGATCGTTCTCGCCGCCGCTCTACGCCCTCCGATAGCGCGCGCGTATACTCTTTCTCTCTTTCTCTATCTTTCTCTCTCTCTCGATCTCTCACTTTCTTACAAGCTCTGTCTATCTGTTTCTATCTGTCCTGCTGTGTCTTTTTCTTTCTCTCTCTCTCTCGCGCGCGGAACTTTCTGCTCGACGAGAGAACGGAAAAAGCGAACGAAGAACGAACAAGAACGAAACTAAAGAAACGAACAAAAAAAAGAAAGGAAGAACGAAGGGAACTTTTCACGAATATCCCCTGTCGCCTTGAACCAGATCTGCTCCTTTCTGTTTTCTATTTCCTTCTATCGTGTATCTGTTTTTTAATTTTCGTCCCCCACCGATACTTCAACGTAACACACACACTACTGTCGACTAATCGAACCCCCCCGACCACCATTTTACTTTTATTTTATACCATTCTCTCTCTCTCTCTCTCTCTCTCTCTCTCTCGAACTGTCTGTCTGTCTAACTATCTCTCTATCTGTCTCTTGATATTTCTTCTTCTTCCTTCTCTGTTTCCTTACGTTCTCTTCTGTCTTCTTGGTCAGTCTCTTCTCTGTCTCCGTCTCTTCTCTCTTCTCTGTGTCTATTTCTTCTTTCTTCTCTGTATCTATCTTTATCTTTATCCCCGTCTTTTCCATTTTCTCTATCTTTATTTTTTCTTTCTTCTCTTTTTATATGTGTTTCTTTTCTCTTTTCTGTATCACTATCTCTATCTTTTCTCCCTTCTATATATCTATCTCTATCTTTTCTTTCTTCCATATCTCTATCTCTATATTTTCTTTCTTCTATATCTCTATCTCTATCTTTTCTTTCTTCTATATCTCTATCTCTATCTTCTCTTTCTTCTATATCCCTATCTCTATCTTCTCTTTCTTTCTTTTCTTTCCCCATCTCTGTCTTTTCTCTCTTCTGTTACTTTATCTCTATCTTTTCTCTCTTCTCTTTCTTTAGCTCTATCTGTATCTTTTCTTTCTTCTTTATCTCTAACTTTTCTTTCTATTCTATCTCTACCTCTATCTTTTTTCTCTTCTCTATTTCTATCTCTACAACTAGCTTTTATCTCTTCTCTCTCTCTCTCTATTTATCTATCTCTCTATCTATCCATCTATCACTCTCTCTATCAATCTGTCAATTTATCAATCTATCAATCTATCACTCTATCAATTTATCACTCTATCAATCTATCACTCTATCAATCTATCAGTCTATCAATCTATCAATCTATCAACTTTCTCTCAGTTCTCTATTACGAATCTCTTGATAACCTGGCCCTTTTCTTACTACGTCTTGCTATGTCCCGCTTTCTTTTGTTTCTAGATATTGCAGAACCTACAAAAAAAACGCACTGAGCGGAGGGGGCGCCTAAGTTCTGACAATATGAGTAAAAAGAAGTCCGGTTTCAGCAAAAGCGACCTTATTTTTAAGGTAACCCGCCCGAACGAACGCGCGAGCCCGCGTCCACGGGGTTTCACGGGGTTCGCGGGAACCGTGGGACCCCAACCGCCCCGGGACCACGTGACCGTCCCGCTTTCATGAGACCCGAACGACGGACGCCGACTCTGTCGATCCTGTGTGCCGTTCTCCCGTTTTTTTCAACGGTCGTACTCGAGCCTATAAAAAAAAAGAGAGAGAAACGAAAGACTCGCCGAATGAAATTCGCAGTCGGAAGGAAACGAGCGAATCGACGAATTGATCGGTCGCGGCCGACGATGTCGCGGCACGTAATTATCGAGCACGTTCGTCGAGCACCACACGAGAACGTACACGAGAACGAAAGACGATAATGCGAGGACCGTGGTCAACGATACATGGCCGAGCCAGCGACACGAGCCCAGTTACGATACGTGTACAACCCGATGTAAACCCGAATTCGAGTCCCCGGGGGAGCACGAACGGAGGCGAGAAAGAGTCCAGAACGGTCCCTCGAGGTCGGGCTCTCAGAAACCGGATGCGGCGGTCCGGGGCACGATGGACGCAGGGGCTGTACGCTGATTGGCTCGTTGGTTTATTACAAACATTCGCTTCTACTTTCCGCCGCATTATACATTACATATATATACCCGCAGCAATAGGCTATGCTTCTATACATTCACCATCGGCACCCGCCTAGCGATGAGAAAGTACCAAAAGGTGTGTGTTTCTTTCATTTTCTTTTTCTTTTTTTTTCTCTTACCGATTATGTACGCGCGTACAGCACGCACCGCCGTGCTACACGCGTGTACACGTACACATATCTGTTAGAGAGAGAAACTGTCATCCCCGGAAACGAAACGGAACGGAACGGAACGGGTCAAAAGCGCCACGCTCGCGACAATGTCGACGCCGACTTCTGACCCACGTTCTCATTGCTCTAACTCCGCTCGTTCCTTGATTCCGGGCCAGAAAAAAAAGCAATAGTTCACTCGAGGGACGAACCACCGGAGACTATAGCGTACCTATGCCCCGCCTGTGCGTTTTGCAAAGACGAAAAAAAAAGAGAGGAGAAGAAACGACGCGGCGTCGATGGAAAAGAAATAGAATCACGGGTTTCGAACGGACGTCACGATGACGAAGAGGAGAGACACCGTGTATATCGAGCTTGTCGATCGTTGTCCTCTACTTATCGTGGATCCCACCTCTCTCTCTCTTTCTCTTACTTTCTCTCTCTGTCTCTCTTTCTCTCTATTTCTCTGGTTACTCTGATTTACCGTTTGCCTATGATTTAACGAGTTTCCGCTTCTCTGTCAACCGTTCCGTCGCGGATATCTCCTTCCACTCGTTCGATCCTTGATGCAGAACCCAGCCAAATTGTTGCTCCGAGTCCGCCGAACCTTCTGACGTCCTTCTCCAAGGTCCTCGAACGATGTCCCCCGTTTGCCCGGCGAACGTTCGCCGGAAAAGAGACGCGAGTCGCGATCGAACGCGGTGAATCCCGGTGGATCTCAGAACAGGCGGCCGCATTCCAGCCCACCAGTCCACGCACAATCTCTTGAGAAATGCTTTTTTGATCGCTAGACGGTGTGCACGATCCTTTGATAAACGAGCGCACGTTGATTGGGCGTCCCTTCTCTGTCGCTTTGTTGCAAATCGCGCGCACTGTGCCGCTGCGGGCGATGGGCGCTCGACCCCTCTCAGTCTCACGCCATTTCTGTGTTGTTGTCCGTGGAGTCCGTGTCGCTTTGGATGTTTCGTAGAATACTTTGTTTTTGCAGGCTCTAGAGAAATGACGGACGCGTCGAACGGGCCCGGCTCTGCCGCATTTCGTGAACACGGAAAAAACCAGTAGCCTGCCCCGCCTTTGCGTTTCCGCGGTCGAGAGTCCTTCTTGCAGGAATGTGTTCCGACGAACTCGGCAGAGAGACCCGGTGTCTATAGAGCGCCCCTTTGATCGTCCATGTTACGTTCTCGTCGCCAGCTTGTCAGCGTTTCGGGCGCGGGCTGGCCCGCTCTCGCTGTTTCAGAGCTCGATGTTCCGGAAACGCTGACGGTCGCGATCATCTTGATTAGATACGCTCGGTGCCGGGTGCCGCGCGAGATTTGACAGTAGAACTACACGACGATCGTCTAACGACCACCTCGCGATCCCCGGTGCTTCGTGTTCGAAGGAATTTCGTTGCCCGAGCACGTGTTACGGTTAACACGGCACCAGGGATCGTCGCGGTTTTGCGTGTCCTCGTTGAAAGAATACGAAGTAAAAGATGACGGCGCGTTCCGCGCCAATGGAAGACGACGCATTCTGACTTGAACTTTTTTATACGTCCACAGAGACGTCACAGTGCTCGGTAGTTCTAGTGTCAAGGTCGCGGTGTTCGCGCAACGACCGGGAAATGTATGGTCGCATTAGGCTGTGCCGAAAGTTCGTCCCGTCTTTTTACCAATGCGCGCCAAATAATTTGCCAGGCCGACTCAGGCTGACTCGGATAAATGACTGATACCTTAGGAAAACAATGAAAAACACGCCTAACGACGAGAGGATCTTCGGGACAGCCTGATGCGCGAGGAAAATAAGTCGAGAGCGTAGAATTAAAGTATGTTCACGCGAGGCTTCGTTTTCGAGGAAATCGAGTACTCTCCGTACTCGTGGTGCATGCGTGCGTTAGTATAATTACGTAGATGAAGTAGAAATGGTAAGTCATTGTCAGACACGTAAGCGACATCTCGACCCTTTGCATGGCGGACGCTTTTTACGACAGCCCATACAAACTCCGCTCGAATAATATCCGGGTACTTCAACGAGAATCATCCTCTTGCTCGATGTCATTAGGCTAACGATTCGACAGCTGGGGAATCGGAATGTCGATGCGAAATCACCGTCGCCGGATCACGGGTCACGACGGACCCAAGGCTCGCCACCCGCGAGTCATCATCTCGGCCCTGCGTTGCGAACGTTTGGTCACACTGTTCCCTTGAAAACGGAGCTTCGCGTGACATCCATTCATTCTCTTAGCATCCTCCCTCGCACCGCAAACGTCCGAAACTCTGAATCGAGAAGTCCGCGACGCCGTCGACGAATCCTGGAAGATATCGACGTCTGCGACGTATAATATATGCAGGGTGTCCCAAGAATGTCTCTCAATCCGAAAGTGACAGGTTCCTCGGATCATTCGAAGCAATTTTTTCCTTTACAAAAATGTTCTCCGAGGCACCGTTAACGAGTTATCGACGAAAAACAGTGACCAATAAGAGAGCGAGCGCGGCCGGCGCTCCGCCCTTGCGGCTAATGCCGCGTCGCGCTGGCCATCTGACGCAGCGGCAGCAGTCGCGAGGGCGGGACGTCGGCCGTACGCGATCTCTCATTGGTCACTGTTTTTCGTTGATAACTCGTTAACGGTGCCTCGGAGAACATTTTTGTAAAGGAAGAAGTTCCTTCGAATGACCCGAGGAACCCGCCACTGTCGGATTGCGAGACATTTTTGGGACAGCCTGTATAATCGATCTCTCGACGTTACTTGTGCTCGAAGCCGCAGTCGTTAAAACCCTCGGAAGCATCGAGCGAACGGAGTTAATTAACGTCGAACGCGCGACAGCGTGCGTAGCTCCATTAAAATCGCTTTCTTTCTCTCGGACAACGTTGCCAGCGTCAAAGAAACGCCGCACTTCATGAATATTAATCCGATAAAGCATCGCGATCGCGTCGCTCGGGATACTGCGATCGGCGAGAATGAAGTTCGAAGAAAGCCAGCCGACGTGGACGATCGCGTGAAAGGGCCGAGTTAAAGAACGAACCGAGGTTGTAACATTCAAAGCGTCACGCGGGACTCTCGCGAATCGGGCATTTCCGAGTGGGACGCCGTCGAGTCCATCGCCGGCCATCGTCGTGAAATCCGGAGAGAAACCCCCGGCCCCTTCCCGATCCCGGCTCCCAGAGCCCACCCCGCGCGATCATCCCCGTGCTCGAGGCGCATCGCCGTTCTTTTTGCCAGATGAGTAACGAAAACGGAAATGAAACGAACCGGAAGGGAAACGGGATAACAATTAGGCCGCAGCGTATGAGAGTAGAGAGCTCGCTACCAACCCCAACACACCGCCGCTCTACGAACGACGTTCACCCTACCTCTCGCCTCCTTTCCACGCCCGTTCAGCCCGCTGTTGCTTCTCGGCCAAGAAAATGCAACCCCTTTACGCGATACTGGCTGGCTATCTTTGTGTGGCTGCGAGCAGGCGCAGAGCAACAGAACAGACTATAAAGAACGATAGCGAGAGGAAGCGGTGGCTTGCTTCGTTGCTTAGAGCCTGGCTTTTTCGCCGCTTGATGATTGTTTGACTTGGCAGCTGGCGTTCTTTTTTACGTTCTCTCTCTCTCTCTTTCTCTCTCTTTCTCTGTCTATCTCTCTCTATCTCTGTCTATCTTTATCTGTCTCTGTCTATCCGCCTTCCTTCATCTCCTCTTTCTCTCTATTTTTCTCTCTCTCTTTTTCACGCGCATCCTCTGTCTGTTCTTCTTGCTCTCTTTTATTTCTATGTATTTTTTCTCCATCTTCGAAACGTTCTCCCAAGCGCTTCTGTTCTTAATCTCTCTCGTTTCCGTCAGTTCTCATTCGGTGGTCTCTCACTAATTTCCGTCGCCTTTTTCCGTTCTTTGTTGAAACGTCCGCGCGACTCGCCCGGCCGCAGACACGCGGGCACGATCGGTCGAAGCCCTCGGCGACCGACCGATTATATACGCTCGTTTCTTTTCGGTTTTCCGTTCCACGTGTCCACGTGTGCGTTCGACTCAGCTCCACCTCGCTCCTGCTCCACCGTTTTTCTTTTCTTTTTCGTTTCCACGTTCCGCAGACGCCGCCTGCGACAGCGAGTCCGCGCGACTCCTAGGCCGCAGGCGTCGATAAACCGCGCGCCGTATCGTTGCCGGAACATTGTTCATCGTGTTGGTTCTGTTTTTCTCGTAATCGTGGACAGCCGTTCGGTGTAACGAGAGAAACCGCTTTCGTCGTTTTCAGCGGACT